CTTCAGAGATCATCAGCTCTGCCCAGGTCCCTGCGAGCGTCGGGGGGGGCACTTGCCTCTGCTGTTCATACTGGAAGGTGGAAACATGATTTAGGGGAGTAATTTGGCCTCCAAGTACAAATTCAGTCTGAGGCAGGCTGCAAAAAGGATGCTCTGCAGCAGTCTAGGAGCCATGCTTGTGCATCTGTTCTGTGCTCGTGCCCCTGCACCCTTTGTCAGCAGGGTTGCGGCGTGGCTGGGGAGGGGGGCACCAGCAGCACAGGCAGTGCCTGGGAACGGGATCTGGCTCCTCCGGAGCCTTCCCTGTGCAGCTCCGTGTGGCAAAGTGGGAGCTTTTCCGTGGGAGATGAGAGACAAAATCTTGTATCTCAGTAGCCATAAGTTTGTGTATATGGGAGAAGAGAAGCAGGCATGAGAGTCCTTGCTTGGGAAAAGCAGTATTTGGATTTTTCAGACGTGGCAGCTGCTGTCTGGCTGTTTTCCAGCCTTCTATGATGGACAATAAACAGTGCATATGACATAAATTCAAAGTTACAAGGTGCAAAAAAAGTCTGGGTTTGTGTTCTGAAGAAATACTTATTGAGAGTATGGACGCTAATACCAGGGTCTCCTGTTATTGTTACCCAGCAAGCCTGGAATCCTCTGATATGTAAATGAAGGTGATTAATTGACCCAAGGTGACTTTAGATTTAAAAGTAAAAAGTTCTTGGTATTACCTTTGAAATAAAATTAGCTTTTTTTCCAAATAATTGAATTTTATTATTGATTTCTGTGTTACAAGCACTCAATTGGACATTAACCTTTTTCTAAGGGTTTGGTTGTTGGGGTTTTTTTTTGTCTGTTGAAATCTCTTTAAGGTAAATTCAAATTTCAAATGCAATACTTGACTGATGTATTCCAGGAATTCCTCTCTTGGTGCCAGTTTTGGTGGCTCAGGCAAAAACTGTTGCTGTGCTGGGGAGACGTGGTGATGGTATCATTAGCCAGGGGCTCACTTGCATCCCCTTGGGTCTCACTGTACTTTGATTTTGGGAGTCTGGACCACAGGTGCCCCTGAGGAGGCAGTGAAAGGAGGAGCAGAGAAGAGGCGCTGCTCCCTCATCAGGTCCTGGTCAGCTTTTTTTGCCGGCCTGTGAGCACGACAGCACCCGCCGCTGCAGGCAGGCCCGGGCTGATTGCTAATAGCGCTTATGAAGCATCATCTGAGATGCCTGTGCACGTGCCAAGACTGGCTGCGTGTATAACTTGCGGGTTTCAGTGATGCAGGGGGCAAAACTGCTCATTTAGAAAAAACTTGGGAAGCTGTGATGAGTGTTGATGTACTTATTCCTTGCTTCTTGCTGTCATTAGCTCATATTTTGAAGCTGGCTCCCAAGCCTGGGACTCTTCGTTGCTTGTGAACCGTAGGTGGTCACTCAGCATACGAGTTTATAGAATCATAGAATCATTAAGGTTGGAAAAGACCTCTAAGATCATCGAGTCCAACCGATTTATCACTAAATCCCAATGTACATGACCTCCACTGAGCTATCAGGACACGGTGCGTGCAAACCATAGCTACTTGCTCCACTGCTTTGTCAAAGTAAATTGGGTGAAATCTTTGGGGGGGAGGGGAGTGTCACAGTGACAAATGTAAACTTGATTACTACTTGGGGATGCTTTAGCACTCTTTGCTAGAAATTATGTGATCCTAGTTTGGGATGGTCTGGTGCTCTGTATGCATTTCCCACACCTTTTATTAAAGTACAGATGGTTCTAGGATATATGGTGTTTCATGGGGCTACAGAAGCTATAAGAAGGCTGGATTTGCAGTGTTCTAAAATTTAGCATGGCTTACATCCTGACTTGCAGAACAGTCTTCCCCAGCACTGAGAAATCAACTGCTGATATTCGTTTTCTGCCCTACAGTGACCTCCCGGACACTGCATATATCTGGATTTTCCTAGAGGAGGGTAATGTTGACATGAAAGGTTGGGGGTTGTTTTGCTCATCTGTCTCTAATCACTTCTGCATATACTAATCTGGTTCTGGAATCGCTGCCATTAGTGGTGCTTTCAAGCAGCGGGCAGCAGACCACTAATGGAGAGAGATCAGATGTTTGGCATCCGGTCACCCTGAGGAAGTGTCTAATAGGGAAGAAGCAGCACCAGCACAAGGTGGTTGTAACTTAACCTATGTAGTCTCTTGGTTTTTTTTTCTTTGTGTGCTGACTGATGTGTTATTAATCTGCCCAGGTGAGCAGCATGCTCGTTGCAGTAAACCAGTTAAGCTCTGTCACAGTTGCCAAGTAAACATCATCTCTGATCCTTCCAGCCTCCCCATGGAGGTCTCAGAGCCCCAGCTATGGCCTTCCTTTGCATGGGCTCTTGCAACCTGCTCTCGGGACTGCAAATCCGTGCGCTGCATCGTGACTGCATCTGCAGGATGGACTCAGATCCGTGCGTGTCACGTTCCTCTTGCATCTTCTCAGTCACAGGGGGAAAAAAATGTTCTGTAGGACCTTCTGCAGTGGCACGAAGTTTCTTCGCATACATGAGTGTACATATGCAAGTTTCTTCTCTGGAGCAGGAGGCAGAAGTAAACCAAATGTTCAGCTTTGGAAAAGGTCCTGGGCTGAACTCCTGTTGAAACAAAACCGTCACTAACTCCTTCATACTTCAGTACACCTAAGAGGCTGTGGCAGGGTACGGCCTAGCCCCTGGTAGATGTTGTATGGACCCAAATCAGTGAGGGAAAGGCCCTTCTGTAAGGGCTGTACAGCCTAAGGAAAAATACTGTGCAACAAATAAGGAAAGATGAAGGCTGAGGGTGTCAGTGATGGAAAAAATTGGTTCTAAAGACAGGTTTTGGGCATAATTTGAGTTTTCAAGTTTCTTAAAAAGATAAATAGGTGGGTGGTTTTAGTGAGTTTGTCATATAAATATAATGCAAACTATACCCGAGTTTGAGCTCCTGGCAAATTACTGGTTTAGCTTCCAGCCTTGCAAAGTCTGGAATCTCGACTCAGTAAACAGAGACCTTTGCAAGCCATGGTGCTGCCAGCAAGCAGCTGGTGATGTTGGTGTTCGCTTACATGTGGTAAACACTTTCAGAAATACTTCCTAATCTGCAGGTATGTCTCAAACTGTTTGCAGCAGCAGGTTATACAGCACTGACCGGGAGGTGGTAGTGTCTAATTAAAAGTGCCTCTTTGTGACCACTTGTAGGATATTGCTGTCTTAATAAAAGATTTCACTCAGGTCGTCATGGCAACAGAAGTTTTTGGAAGGAGAAGGGCTTAGTAGGTAAGTTGCTCTTGCCAGACAGAGGTTGCCATGCTGAATAAAGCAGTGTGGCAGAAGCCTGCGCTCAGCTAGCAATGGTAAGGTGTCCAAAACACACTGGTCTGGGCAAGGAGGCAAGAAGGACTGGTGTGACCCAGAGGGTCCTGTTTGCAGCTGCACAGGGATGCTGGAGCCATGCCTTTAACTGTGTGGCTGGCAGATGCACGTCAGCTGCCACACAGGCCCTTGTGCTGGCAGCGAGTCACTACCCAACAGCAGGAGAACTTACAGCACGTTCTATCCAGCCCGCCGGCGTCGGAGCTCAGGGCTGCCTGCTGAGCGACCTGCAGCCCCCAGCAGAGCTGCAGTGACGTGGAAGGGCTGAGCTGTGGGGCAGCGCTGGGCAACACCAGCTCCTGATGCCCGGCCCCTTCACCCCCAGGCTGGTTGCAAGGCAGCAGAAGTGGGCAGGGACCCGGCGGGAGGAGGCAGCACCGGAGGCACTTGGGGTAGATCCTGGAGTTCCCAGCCTGGGAGTTCAGATACGTAGCTCTGAGAGGTTTGCTGCCTTGCAGGAGCCGGCGTGGCTGGGCTGGGGAGTTGTCGGAGGGCCTGTGCTCCAGGAGAGCCTCGTGCTGCGTTGGGTGCTGGGGTAGCTCCTGGGGCTCATGTGGTGTGATAGCTCAAAGTGCTTCAGCAAGTAATTAACAGGCAAAATAAACGCGGTGGCTTGACTCTAAACATACGCTGTTGCAGTGTGGGGCTGAGGGACCTGTGTAGCTTTAGCCCTGGCTCTCCAGTATGCTCATTATATTTGTACTAGTTTCTCTGCTCCAGAAGCTGCAAGAAATCATTCTGCTGTACATAATTTTAATTGCCTGTTATACAATTGCTTCTTTTCCCATGCCTGTCAAATATATTCTCTGTTCAAAAGTGTAGCTCTGTCATGTGGCATAACCTGTCTGCTAAATTACAACAGGAATAAAAAAATACTGCAGAAAATTAAAAAAAAAAAATATCTAATTATGAAATACAATGGCATTCTCAATCTCATTCTCATTCTCAATCTGCCATCTGCAGCCTGTTGTGTCAGGACCAGTACAAACAAATCAGTAAAACCTGCTGCTTTTCTTATGTTGCCTTTGGCAGTTGTAAGTAGTTTGTGCAGTGTTCATGGGAGCACTCTTGTTTCTCTGGTCTGACCATGTGCTGTCTTCAGCCAGAAGATTTCAGCATTCACTTTTTTTGCAGAATTGCTCTGGGGCTGGGATTTGAAACGGTGCACCTGGGGAATGGCGAAGGGGCAGCAATGAAAGGGTTAAAAAGAATTATCTGGGCTGCAGCTTTAACAACGTTGTATGGAGGGCACGAAACTGAATTTGGTAGGAGGTTCTTTGTCTGGAACACGCCTTGGCAGTAAACAGATATCTGATCTCAGAGGCAATAAGACATTAGGAGCACTGGCAGGACTGCAGTAAGCTGTGGCTTCTGGAGGCTGACTGGGGACTCCCCGGTCTGAATGCTGAGGAGGGTTCGTAGAGCTGGAGCATTGCCTGGCACAGGGTGTCCCTTAGGGTGCTGCCATGCCAGAGGGTGGAACTGGTGTGAATCTGTTTCTGTGATTAAAAAAAAACCAAACCCTCTTTTCCTAGTTTGGCTTCCTTAGACAGCAGAGGGGGATAGCGGAGGATGCAGTGTGGGAGATGAGTGGTACCAAGGATGACAGCCGTTGTCAGAAGGCAGTCCGCATTGTCACCGAGCTGTGCCGGAAGAAAAGCCTGCCTAGCTTGGACCTGGACATTTGCAGGGAATTCTTCCTGCTGCCTTCCGACCAGAGCCTGATTATCTCCGAGCCAGGTAAAGTACGCTGGTCCTGTCTGCTCGAGTAGTGCTTGTGACTGCCAACAGCCGGAGGAAGGCAGAAGGGCTCTCGCAAGGGGAGGGAAACGTTTGCAAGCCCCGTGTTAGACTTGGGGGGATTGGTCTCGGCACGCATCTCTGTGTGGTTATTTCCCTTTACACATGTTCCACTGTGAAGTTCTGGCTGCAAGTGCTACCTCACCTGTTGATGCGAAACGGTGTAGCCTGATGGGGATAGCTGCACAGAGGGGACAGACGGGGTGTTACGGGGACGTGCCGGTGAGGAGGTGGTTAATGAGATAAAGTTTCATGAAAGTTCCTTATTTTCTTAAAAACATAGACTCCTGTCCTGTATAAAGCAAAAAAGCAGTAAAAAGCCTATTTAAGTAGCTGAGATGACAGGAACTGATTGCTGTTATCCCAGTTTGAGAAAAGGAAGGACTTGTATGGATTTTTGTTCACCAGTAAGAGATCTTAATGTACTTTCATGTATTTGTTTTACTTTCCCTAAGAACTGCTTGAAGTTGTTCCTCGTTAGCTTGTAGAGCTAGGGAGACACACTGGCATGTCAGCGATGAATTAAGATCAAGCATACTGCTCTAAGAGCAAGGGGCATTTCTTTATTGGACAGCATTTAATTTTCTGTACTCTTCTGCTCACAGCTTCTTGTTCCAGAGAGGTCATCTTCTGCTGTAAGTTCAGAAGACATTGGCAGGGGGAGCTTACATCCCAGGCTCACACGCTGAGGAGCAAAAACAAAATCCCATGTTTTTTAGCGTTGTTGATAACATGCTCTAAGTTGTTTGTGAATTAGAGTGCTTTCTTTTTTTTTAAGGTTTCTGTAGATAATGACCTACCAAGCATAAGTTTTCAGGAACTTTTCTTCTCTCCTTCTGAGGACACCCGTGCAGAGCCAGGTGCAGCACAGTAGCCGGTCAATCCCTGTCCAAGGCTTTCTGTGTCATCTTGCTTCAGTTCCTCCTGCCCCTCTCTGCCAGCGTCTCGCGCAGGGATGCGACTGGCGCCCAGGACATGCTGGCAGCTCTCTGGTTTGTCTGGGCTTCTGCCATCTGTTTGCTTGCAGTGGTGCTTCCACCACTGTTTTGCCAGTATGTCCAGCCTAACACCTTCACTTCACATCCCACTCTGCTTGTAACTTAATTGTCATCTTAAAATGCCTTTGCTTTATATGTGCTTGTTCTGAAGGCCTCTTACCACTGCTGGTACTGTCTTTATGCGTTGCATCCAGTGCAGCTGTTTCCTCTATTGCAAGTGACTTACTGCATTGCTTCATAATTTTTTACCTTGGTACCAAAATTAACGTTTTCCTGACTCTGTGCCGCAGAAATACCTGTACTGCTCTTATTCTGTCCGCCCTGATAGGACAGGTAGTTGCCTGGCATTTGTTTGTGCAGCCTGTTCAGGACTTCATTTTCAGGTCACAATCACATAATCACATGCCTTCAACATCTCAAATGTTTGTCTTCTCTGATCTCTGGTTTAAGTGTCAGGCTCTACCCCAGTGCCCTGGGCAAGTCGTGCCGGGCTGGCTGACTGTGGCGGGTGCATTAGCAGCTATTACTGTTGTCTCTGCTCTGCACGACTGGGCCCATTTTTATGTCTAGACAGTACTGAGGACACCGTTTGGGCCCAACAGGTACTAGAATTTCTCAAATGCCTGGATGTAAAACTGCTCCAGCAAGGGAAACAAACCTGTTTGCATTAAGTGCTAACTAATGTTAGTTACGGTGGTAAGATACTGGTCCCATTAGAGTCTGGATAATTATCTAATTATCTGCATTTCTGCTTTGTCCATTTTACACTGAAGGCTTATGTTAAGCAAATTTGCTATCGGCTATCTGAAGTCCTATGTTCAGATCCGTCGAGTCCTTCCTCGTGAAGATATGCAAATAAAAAGTGAGGTTGTGCAAAGATGAGCAGTGATGCGGCTTTGAGACAGGGTGCCGTATTGATACCGACAGGAGAGTCAGAGGAGCCGTGAGTACTGCGTCCTGCCGAAGCGTACCTGTGCTGGGCAGCACAGCCTCAGCACCCTGGATGCGAAGCTTGCTGGAGTAAAATTGGCCCCATTTGTCATCATTATGTGAAGTCAACGGCTTCTCTGTCAGTTTGTTACCTCCTGGATTATTAGCTAATAGCTAGATCAGCTTGGCTTGTCAAGTATCATCTCAGTGAAGTTTGCATTGTTGGTGAGCAGGCAGACGAAAGCACTCTAAACCTGGCAAAGCTGGGAGCCAGGGCTGCTTCTGCACAGCTCTGCTTGCCATTAGACCCTGAGAGGTGGTTTGGTTTTTTCTGATGTTTCATGTATTGATGGAGAGCAGTATCTCCTGGGGATGCTGTGGAGTTGCAAAGAAATTACCCAGGTATCACTAGCCTTCTTGAATTGCATCTGACAGTGGAAAAAAACTGTGAATATAAAAATATTACTGAGTAGTTTATGGAAGAATATGACAGAATATGGTTTTATGCAGTTATTATTTTTTTTAAACCATTTTGGACTGAATGTGGAAAGTGCTACTGTGCGTAAAGTAGACGGTCCTCTACTCTGTGTCCTTCGGGTTATGTAATAGCTGATTCTTCTACTTAAAGTCAGTAAGAGAAATATAGCTGCAGTGTTTCTCCAGTATGCCATACATTACACCCAACAAAGGAGCACTGCAGACAGCTGCTGCTGGCTAGTAATCCAGCAGCTAAGTATGTCAGAAAAATAAGGTATTTGGATGAGGAAGGTTTGGTATGGATGCGTCAGTGGATATGCGAGGGTGAGCGTTTGCCTGCAGTTTGGCCTGTGGCGGTGCCAGGAATAGAACTCTTGGCTGTGGGCCCTGAGATCAAGCAAGATGCAGCATCCTTTTGTTGTGCCTATCTAAAATCCTCCCCCGTAGCTCCCTCCATCTGATAGCTCTCTTCCCTGCCAGTCCTCCGCTCTTGTGCAGTGATGCTGTGAGTGTGACTAGTACACAGGCATAAGCTGTAGAGAGTGGAAGTGCCTGTGATATGGGGACAAAATTTACCACTGCGGTGATGTGCCTTAAATAAATGGATACATCACTTCTCTGTCCTGGAGGTGCAGCCAGTGCTCTCGGATATAGCGCTCTGAGAGAATTTGTGGACAAGCCCTACTGAAGTGCAAAGTACTTGGCTGACGATGCAGGAGAGCTCACGCTGCCAGACTCCCACGGGAGCACTGCATGGGCACAGCGAGCCACCCCATGTCACCCGGTCCCTCTGCCCACGGGAGTGGAGCTGCTGGTTGGAAAGCAACAGGTTCCAGGGTCTTTGGGACACGGGGTGCCAAATCCGTCTCTCCATTGCCCGCTACGAGCTCCCGCGGTGGAGCAAGCTCTCCCCTGGCTGCTCCTGCCCAGAACTGCTCCCAGGGTACGAAGCCCATGGTCCTTCCTGCGGGCAGCTCGGCTCCAGCCTGCCAGCATCCCTGGGTACTGGGCATCGCGTCATGCCCTGCACAGCTTTTGCACCATGAAGTGTGCTGTGTGCTTGTCTGCACTGTCAGGTTGTCGCTCAAGGTGGACTGAGTTGTGTTGCCGACTCGCTCCCAACGTTTGCCTGAACCAGGTCCCGCTCCCTGTGGGTGCACAGCACCGGGTCTGGCTGCGGACAGAGGCTTTCAGCCGGTCCCGGGAGGTCGTGCCAAGCAGGGCATGGCACAGAAAATGGGTGCTTGACCCCACAGAGAGATTTAAAAACAAAATGATCATTCTGAAATGAACACGCAGAGTTGGTGGAGTGCGACTGGAGCCTGTGGCTTGTGATGCTTGCTGACTTTAAAGGACAGTGCATGGGTACGGGAGGGAATTTACACCAGGATCAGAGCACATCCAGGAGCAAACCCCTGCATTTGATTTCTAGCTCCAGCACTACTGTGTTGCGACTTCCTTTAAATAACACGTTGGGTTTTTTGCCTGTGTATCCATTTGTAAAAAGCTTCACTGCCCTGTAGAATCAGTACAGGATACAACGGACGATGTGCAGAGGTGTTGCAGTTTTTACCCAGAAAGTCACTATAGGATTGCGTGCACAGCAGTCCCTGTTGATCTCAGCACAGTGCGTGTACTCCCTTCAAACCTTTCCGTATGCACTGATTCACCCCAGCAAAATGCTCTAGTGCTTTCCTAATGCAGGATATGAAAGCTGAAGTGAGAAGAAGAAAAAGGACAGCTGGGGAAAATGCAAAACCAGAAGAGACTTTATGATAATTTCTGTTTCCGAGCACACTTTGTCAGCTGTCCTTCTGTGCTCTAATTCTGCAACAATTCGGAGCACATTTAGTGTTTTGCCCTTTGTGTGAACTGTTCTTTTTAAATTTCATGATGCAGGCAGTACATCTTGTACAGCGCTGAACGCCCTCCTGGCACTTCACAAATACTATTAAAATGTTAAATCCACAAGTGCATAAGTGTTCTTGCTGCAGGTAGAAAAAGGGTTGAATTTCTGTGCGATTGGGGTTTTTTTCATTGCAGGAATGTTGATGCGGAAAGATCACTTTTATGTGGAGAAATTGCTTCCGGAGTATTTTTCTCGGAAAAAAATTCTCCTTTGGTAGGATAGTTTGACTAATAGGAAAATCGATGACATGCCCATTCACTGATACGGGATACCTACAGCCGCTACCTGTGAAATGTGGGCAAGTCTTGAATTTACTTACCAGCTGTAATAACACACTTTTCTGAATCACCGTTCAAGTGTATTTTAACTAAGTATAACAGTAAACATGCTTAAAGCCATCCAGGCAAAGCTAATATTAATCACTGAAGCTTGTATTTCCAGAGGCCAGGCAAGTGAGGAGTAGCACCTTGGGGCAAAGATCTTTTTTATCACCAAGTAATGCACTTGCAAAATGGATCTTGCCTTCCTCTGCGAGTGTGTGGTCCACCAGCAGGAAAAGGGCCAGCTCGAGCTACGTGCAGCAGATTTGCTCTTTAGCTCAAGTAAAACAGGTTTGTGCTCTGATC